CCTTGCTGCTTGCTGCCATCATCAACCACGACCACCAGGGGGACAAGATGCTTCGGCGCTTCACGGCGAAGGCTGGGGCCATGGCACGGAGAGGGAGCACGCTTCCCGGGCCAGGTGAGGTGGCGTGTGTGATGCATTTTGGAAGAACTCGGGCTTGTTGATGGGGTGGGAGTGCGCGGTCGGTGCACGCGACCGCAGTCTGGCCGAGGCATGTTGATTCCCCCTTTGTCTGCGTGTCTGTGTCGTTTGCGTTGCAATCTTTGTTATGCGGACAAGGGCCCGCGTCAAGGTGTTCACGCACACGCACATGTATACACACCCAACAGGAAAGGGACGCGTGCTGCGGGGGGGCTTCTCCTCGACAGCCCACACGGGGCCAGGCACAAGCAGTGGAGAGGAGCTCGGTAAGAAGTGGGCGACATTCTTCCAAGGCATTGGCGCGGTGCTAGGGGTTGCTGGTGCTACCGCTGTGGTCGTGCGTACTTTCGACCAGACTGAGATAAAGTATGTCCAGAGCAAGGCGGCGGCGGAGATCGCGCGTGTGGAGGACAAGGCGGCGGCGGAGATCGCGCAGGCGAAAGCAGACATCGCGCGTGTGGAAGACAAGCGGACGATGTCCGAAGTGTTTTGGAAGGCGGAGGTGGAGCGGTTCAAGCGCGAGGTCCAACTGGCTTACACTCAAGACTATGAGCCTTATCAGGCCGCGCTTGTGGACAAACGTAAAAAGAGGGGAGGAACCGGCGGATTGGAGGAGAAGGAAGAGGAGAATTAGGATTCGGGGCCCTACGTTAATATAAATAGAAACCATGTAGAAAGACACAGTCAAAGACATGTACAGTGGACGGGGTTGTGCAGTAGAGAGATGGGCAGGAAAGGGATAGGACTCATACACGACAAACGTAATAACGAGGGCTCCCCACAACTTGTATCGAGCGAGTTTTTCCTTTGTCTTTTATGATTTGATGCACTGGCTCATATCCATCTCCCCCACACTACCGCCGCCGACCCTGCTTTCGACTTGTCCAACCAAGCCCCTGCCGCTTGACGGCAGCAGACCGAGGCGACCCGTCGAAGGAGGGGGCAGACGCGGTGGGAAGGAGGAAGGAAGTCATGGTATGAGTCAGTGGATTGTAGCGGAAGCTTTGGACCCCGGAAGAAAGGCACGGAGAGGCGTGCTAGACGCGATGTTGTGTTGTTACTAGTGCCAGCACCAAGGCCTGTTTGCGTAATATACACACATACTACTTAGAAAGGCGGCACGTAAGGAGGCTCAACAAGCTTTGTGGACCCCCGCCCAGCAGCCAGCAGCCAGTCTAGCATGTCTCCCTAGGCCCAGTCTTGTGCGCAGCACCACACTCAATACCACTCACCACCACCCCATCCGTACAGGTTTGTCAAGTCAGTCGCCGCTTGTCGTCGAGCTTTGGGGTAGAACGTGGTGACACGGATTCGATCCACGCGGAGCACCGGCAGCTACTATCAATAGTAACGCCAACTGACTGCTACACATACTGCTCTCTGAACGGGGGGGAGTCGACGCCTTTCTTTTTCAACTGGAACACGGTCACATCCCAGTGTTTCTGCTGCGGGGGCGAGTGCACGTTGATTATTGACCCAGCGTTCAACGCGTATGAAGTCATCGTCGCTGCAACAGGCGCTCCAACGGCGGCTCCCACGCCGGTCCCTTCGGCAGTCCCTACTGCATCGCCTACAGCTACCCCTACGGCTTCGCCTACAGCATCGCCTACTGCATCGCCTACAGCTGCTCCTACGGCATCGCCTACAGCATCGCCTACTGCATCGCCTACAGCGTCTGCAACACCTGTCCCTACCCCAAATTCCGCGCCTCCACCTAAGTCCTATAGCTGGTCCTGCACCTGCTTCTGTAGCATAGCCTACTCGTATCTCTTCCGGCTCACTGAAAGCACTTTCGCTTACTGCAGGACCAACTACCTCTCGATAAAGTGTTTCTTGGTATTTTGGAATCGATGGCCCATCACAATGATAGCTTCTTCATATATTGCTACGCCCACTCTCCACCCCAATTTGCCCTCATTTTAAAAAACTAGTCATGACACTTATATAGCAAATTCATTTCCTACAAACGATGGGTTCCGAAAAAGAAAATATATATGATCATGACAACGAGTGGGGCGCATTGCAGGGGGGAATGAAGGAAAAAGAAATGAAGCATCTCATCCTGATGGTCCTGATAATGTTGAAATTATAAGCATACTAAATCCTGACAGAGGAAACACAAAAGAACCACTTACTTTATTTGATACACCCTTTATCAAATATTTTTTATTTCTGAGAGATTTCTTAGCTTGCACTTACCAGCAAAGACTCGTGTGATGAATAGTTGACTCGTCACCATCAGTTTTACAAAATCTTGTAGCCTTTAGAAGCCAGATGGATGAAAGATGGGAGAATAGGCAGCACGAGATTAAGTCGGGGAAAACGAAGCGATGTTAAAAACAAGTACAAGGCCGTCTTGGAGAGCGACTTCTTGCTCCGAACAAGCGCGATCATCGCCTGTTCTGTACTACGTATACGACGGACGATTAAGTCCCTTTTGTTTTATTGTCTACACAGTCTCAGAGAGTCCACCATTATGGTTTCTTCGACGCATATATACAGTACGTTCTGGGGAACAACAGCGGCACTCGGGTCGACACAGGTCCGACCTGGCATTGATTTCATCAGGCCAGATCGATCACAGGGATCGATTACAATGAGTCTTACTTTCAAATACAGCTTTTCGGGACTATTGTGTGAACATTAAACAGTCTGACTGCTCTTCTGATAAGTATGATAATATTGAGTTGTACTGAAGACTTATTGAAGTGACCAAAAGAGTGCATGAAAAACGTAGAAGGTAATGGACCGATTCATTAGCAGGTCTCTTCGATCACCATTTATATGCTTTATCGCAGAAGTGGTTTGCTGCGGTTCCAAAAGGAAAGTCGGACAAACGTCATTTTAGAAGTACCAGAAGTACACTTGGCCGTTTTATGATCGAATACGCTCTACATACTACTGACGTATAAGTGGACGAAAGCAAATCGGGTATGTAGAAAGAGACTGAAAAAAAATTACGCGTTGGGAAATATCCTCCAGGCCGCCTCAAAAAGATCCGGTGGGTGGTCGTTCACAGGCTCAAGACATGATTGATGTCCGGATCATTAACGAGGAGTTTGGCTCTTTTGATATGTGTCTATGTGGCCAAGGAAAACCGCTGACGGGCTTCAAACGAGTCTGCCAGCACGGACATACGACAGGTCCTCGCGGGTGGCAGCCAGGTAAAACTTTCTTGCCTTATGACTATGTTGACTTGAAGTCACCCCATCTGCATCGGTATCGTCGCTGTATCCAGTCGGATCTGACGGGGGTCCATTCTTTTTTATCCCTCTCTCACTTACCTTATGTCATCTCCTTCTCGCTCTAAGCGGCTGGAGGGCCTGGTTACGAATACGCTACTCCAAGATGGACGGTGGAACTGATGAGCAGCGACTTAAAAGGACTAAAAAAAATAGTTCCATCGTCAAATAAGATAATAGGTAATGGGCACCATTAAAAATGGATGAGTATGAGGGCCAGGACTACCATAATTTTCCGAGTAGCAGAGCATGAGAGCGAAACTTCTTTAAAAAATGCTTGGAATTGAATTCCTCACTCCATGTTACTGATTTTAAATTTTTCCTCCAGATGCAAAACAAAAAACAGAGGAAGAGGAAACAGTCGAGCATGACGATGATGCAGATAAGCACTGTTCCAGAAAAGATGGTGGCTGGGGGAATAATGATTTCCAACGCAAGCAAGACGAAGGGGACAGCGACATAGAAGCAGAGGGGAAGGAGCTGGAATTGCTGGTTGATGAGGACGGACGCCTCGTTTTCGACGGAGGCCATGTCGACTACTCTTTCCGCTCCTTCCCTGCGGCCTTTCCTTCCTTCTGTACTGATGCTACGTCTTCCTCCGTCCTGTCCACCTTGCTGCACGATTGTCGAGTAGCCAGCACGGCAAGGGCGCAGGCCAAGGCTGGGGGAGACTACAGCGAAGGCGAGACCTTTTTCATCACCGCCGACACCAAGCCCAAGGTGCAACTGGAAGCGCTGGCCCTGTCGATATTCTGGGCGCACACCTCTCAAGCCACCTACACCGAAGGACATAGCGGGGCAGAATGGTGGGTGCAGGTGCTGGAGGAGGAGGACGACATTGGCCTGCATTTCGACAAGGACTATGCCCTGGAAGCACACGGTCTCAACATCTACCCTCACCTGGCCACGGTCACCTACCTCTCTTCCTTGGGAGGTCCCACTCTGGTCCTTCCCCTCTCGGGCCCCCTGCACGTGGGGGAAGACCTGTCCGGCGCGCTCTCCGGAGCCTGGCTCTCCCTGCCCGCCGTGGGCAAACACACCGTCTTCGATGGACGCCTGCTACACGCGGCGCCCGCGGAATTGCGGGGACTGTGGGCCGACGAAGACGGTTGGGAGGAAGGTGGGAGGGCGGAAAGGAAAGGGGGACGGAAGCGGGTGACCCTCCTGGTGAACGTCTGGCTGAATCACATTCCCAACGGCTCGGAACGGCCGTCGCCCTCCCTCCTCCAGGCCCTCTCTCCCTGCGACTCTGCCGCCCCATTGGAATGTAGAATCCCCTTGGCCCCTCCCTTTCAGCGAGGGGATGCCGAGGAAGGGACTATCTCGTCCTCCCTTGCGTCCCCCGGCGCCTCTCAGGTGACGGAGGTGACGCTAAGAGGAGGGGCGGTAGGGGAAGGAGCGGCCCAACGGGCATCGTGGAGGTTGGGAGGTGAAGCCAAGCAGAGGTATAAGGTTTCAATCCTTGTGCCCGCTGAGGAGGGGAGGAAGTTCTCGAGGGAGGACGAAGGCTCCACTGTGAGGCTGATGTTTAAGGAGGGGGTGACGGGGATGGTGGTACGGGAGGTGGGAAGGAAGGGAAAGAGGAAGCGGGTGGTGAATGAGGGGGAGGAGGAGGAGGAGGAGGAGGAGGAGGATAGATGATGATAATGATGATGATGATGAGGATGAGGATGAGGAGGAGGATGGTGATGACGGGGAGGAGGATGATGGAGAAGAGGAAGAAGAGGAGGAGGAGGATGGTATTGAGGGGGAGAAGATGATGGAGAAGAGGAAGAAGAGGAGGAGGAGGAGGAGGGGGACAAGAAGAAGGAGGAGGAGGAGGAGGAGGAAGTGGAGGAGGAGGAGGAGGAGGAGGATTAAAAGGAATAAAAAAAGATGGAGATGGTCATTATGATTCCGGAAGAGAAAGGCAGGTTAAAGGCCTTATGTTCCCCTTTTTTCCGCTCTTGCTTTCGAGAGAAGGTAATGTCTAGGAAGAGGCGGTCGAAAAGGGACCAAGGGGAGCGACAAGAAGGACAGAGCCGAAGACGGTTTTTGAGACGAGCTTAGAAATGGATCATGACGACGAGGACGGTCATCCGAGTACAGTAAGATGTAAAACAAAGAACGAGGTGCCAGAGCTGGAGCTTGCCTACGGTTTTACTTTCCTCCTTCATCCTTCGGGCCACAAAGGACCTCAGTCCACTCCGCTCCTTTCACACTCCCCTTCCCTCGGCCGTTCCTGCTCCCCCACCTGTACATCCATCCCCCCTTCCCTCCCTCCCTCCCTCCCTCCCTCCCTTTCTCCCTACAAGAAATAGTCCGGTTGGCGCTTTCCCTGCCGCCCTGCGTCTTCCCGCGGGGCGGGGTCGAAGCGGATGAAATTACAGTATTGGTACACATCCTGTCCCTCCGTGCTGCCAAACTGCTCGTCCACTTCCATCAGGGCTGCGAGCCACACGGAAGGTCACAGAGGAGGCAGGACGGAGCAGGGGGGGGAGAGGGAGGGGCACAGGTGAGCACCTCAGATAGACGCATGCCTCGCCCTCCCCTGCCCTCCCTCCCTCCTTCCCCCCTCCCTCCCCACCTGCTTGGTTCCCGCACCGGTAGCAGTAGTTAGGCGCGGAGAAGATGGTCACCACTCCTTG